ATCTCAGAACACAAAATGAACCATTCTGTTATACACTAACATCAGTATCTTTCCTTAACAGTACTAAAAGTTTTTTTCTAATGAGGAAGGACACTACAAAGGTTTTGAAGGTTAACTTCTTTCACTAAAGTGAGCTACACGCAAGACCTTAAACATGTTTTGAAACCAGGAATTACTTTGAAGCTTAAAATATTTTAAAACAAGTACTGTTGTCTAAAGATCAGCATTTCATACCTCATATTTTAATAAAACAGTCACGTTTCCTACTAAACATAAGGTTCTAACAGATAATTTCCAGTTCCTTTAAATTACGACAATTTTAAATTCCCTCACTACACTGAAAGGCCAGAGTGTGAGCATCAGTATAGAACGTCAAACCTGTGCCTTACTCTCCCTGACTGAAACTGTGGCATTTCAGCACAGTTCCACCCCAGCAAATAAGCAGGCTCGGCAAGGCAAATCAGCCTGGTGCGGCAGAGCCCTTCCGCCCTGTGGGCCTGTCACAGGAGAACGGGAACATTTAGCTGGTGCTAAAAGTTAAATTCCTCTATCAGAAAACCAAACAAAACCTCAACCACAGTCTGCACTCGTTTAGAAACATGGCCTGATACAAAAGACTAAGGGGGTATTTCTCCCTTGTTACAACAGGAGAGGAGAAAAGATCATTTTTGAAGCTGTGGATATATCTTCTCGCTTAGAATCTCTCTGGTGACTCCTAGAGCCATAAGCAGCTTCCAGGAACGTCTGTCCAAATGTGGAACGCTTTGAGGACTGGCTAGGCCTGTGGCATAACTAAAATATTCCGTAGAGGATGTGATAATAAAAAAAAAATCAAAAGAGGAACTTGTTTTAAAAACTTGCTGACAAAATCCCGAGAGCATAAATATTGCAGTTTTGTTACTTTCATCCTCAACTACCTACAAACGAGTAAGTACTTTGTTCAAACAATTGAGCACAATTGAGCGATTCCTCTGCTATCTCACTTGCAATAATGAGTTCAGCGTAGGTCCGCTGTTTACGTATAAATGATGCTAAAGTTTAAAGCACAAAGAATTCTAGGCTGACTTCACACGCAGTAAACCTGTTTATGTTGAGTGAATTTACCAGTTCCCGAGGTTTCATTTTATTAATATAAATTAATCAAATTTACTTCATAATCTTCCTTAGTTTTTGATTTCTGCTAAGCTCTGCTCAGAACTATTCCATCCACACCTCATATCCTTTCCTTCCAGGCAGAACTTCCCAAGGACCATATATCCCTAAACGCTTCCATGAGCTGCTTTTGTCTTTGAGACAGCAGAACAAGCATAGTATTCCCCCTAGCCATAACAACACTTGCAAACAGGCTGGAGGTATCTGCCCCCAGAAAACACTTCTCATTTGTTCTGTTTTCAAAAATAAAAATGTTATTCAGCACAACTGAAAACTTTTTTTCACAAGTGTAAAACATAACTATTGTTCAAAATTTCAGATGCACTTAAATTTTATGTAATAGGTTGATTCTACACAAAATGTCAGTGAATGTAATGGCTAACAGTATGGCTATACGCTAGCCGAGAAAGGATAATAAATAACCTTAAAATGCTGGTTCAGCTGGTCAGTTTATGGAGAACAAATATTTTATGGCATCTTATGTTCTTTCAGCGAAGAATGCTTCTGGATTGTGTATTTGAAAATAGTAAGGCTGTCTTATTGGAACTAATTGGACCAAAAAAATGATACAAGTCTGTTCTCAAAAGAAAAAAAGGAAATTATATTAAGATAAAATTTTCAACCAAAAGAGAAGAAATATTGTTCAGGATCTTATCCTCTGAGACAGAAGTGGATTCCTGACTGATCCAATAAAGTAACAACAGTCTGGGTACTTCTCTGCCTTTCACAGCTTGGCTTCGCCATGTAAGCGTAAATTCCATACAGGCTCCTTTGTTTTACCACAGAGGTAAAAATAAATAGGTACATAGAAAGGCTGTTCATAGATGGCACCATGAACATGACTCAAGCTGGATATTTTTTAGTATTACTTAGCTCACTAAGACAGATGTAATTTCAATTATTTTTATTTTATAAATCTGAGAGGCACACTGCAGAAACAACTAAGCAATCTGATTGCCCAGTCATAATTTACTTGAAGTTTTTAAAGAGAAAGGGAAATGAAAAGTTTAGCATGAAGAAGAGAGTTTGCCACAGCACACAGAAAAAACCCAAAAGATCATGAACTAATGGTATTTTAAGAGGCTGTTGTAGCTGCCTTTTCAGGAGTCCTGAAGATTCAGCTAGAAGACAAAATATCTAAAGGGATGTGGGTGTAGGAAAGAAAAAAAAGCAGCTTTGCCAGCAAGTCCTTCTTATCCCAAACAGAAGACTTGGACATATCTGGCAAGCCACCAATTTGTATACACTCTCCCTCCGCAGCCTCTATTTGTACCACTGTTTCAGACAGAACAGACAACAAGTGTTATACAACACTGATTACTAAAGTAAGCCAGTGATCAATAAAAGGAACTTCAAATTTAGCAGTATAAGCAGAAGTGAAAAACAAATGCTGAAGATGGGCTGAACATACAGAGTAATATCAGGAATATCAGATATACGGAAATGTGACTGAAACATTTAGCATGAAAACCACCAAGCTCATTACTTCAAAAGTACTGCAGAGACAAAAGGAAATTCTAGACAGAAGCAAAAATACCCAAGAAATCGGCTCATAACTTGAGCTAAAGAACAGTACAGTAAACTTTTAAACATATTTGATAATTAAGGTTCCACAAATAGAAAGTAAGTGTTGCATGGCCATTAAATTATCAGGAAAGAAGCAGGATAAAGACAAACTATGGAAAAGAAAAAGAGTACAAGACTTCAGGCATATGCCTTTATTACGTTAAAACACACGCACACAGACAAGCACATATATATGTTTACACACACACAGGCAGCCAAGGAAAGAACAAGACTGGCTGTGATAATACAGGAGAAGCAGAGAAAACAAACTATTTTGTGAATAACATTTGCAGAGTGAAACAAATATCCAGCTCATCTGCTAAACCAAAAATAGTCATTTAAAAATAAACACTGACACCCACAACCTATTGTGAGTGTTCTCCAATCTGAAGCGTATTTCAAAATAAAATCAAATAAAATACTAATCAGAAATGAGGCATATTAGATCTGTAATATATGCAGGCTTCAGCAGCTTAGCATTCCCTAAGCCTGGATGACAGCATATTTGTTTACACATAGTATTATGGAAGTGTCATTTACTGAAGGTCAAATCTAGACATATGAGCAAGAATTCAGAATGAATAACCAAACCCAGGGCATTTAATGTTACACTTGCTCTTATAGTAAAGGAAAGGACACAGTTATATTTGTAGAGATGCTCTTCCATTTTGGTGAAAGACATCAAAGGAATCCCTTTTTGTCACCACCGTATGTTGTTTGTGACTGACGTTTGCAGCGTAGCACAGCACTTGTTGGGAGAAGCTAGGAACAAACCCATAAAGATCTGCCACAGAATTTGAACTGTCTGCAAAAAACTGTTGACATATTTGGTAGACAAGCAAGGATTTAGATACGGGCTACATGTAAGACAAATTTTTTGGCCTAAATACCTTAAAAATGTTTAACTATATTATATAGCATAACATACTGTTGTGCTGTAATCACGCATGCACGCTAGAGTTTCGTACTCAGAAGCTTTTGTAACAGCTTAGAAGCAAATACCCAAAAAATCCCAAGCCATGGCGCTAATCCATTGAGAAGAAGTCATTAACATGCACGTAAGAAACGCGTAGAAGCACAGGCAACATCACGGGACAGCAGTGCACCAGCCCCTTTAAAGATGAGCAAGTCATGAGGAACTGACTCCCTCCTGCTCCCAGCACACACACACACACACACACATACACTTCTCCTCTCTCACCTCTCGTATCCTTTCCTGTTTTAGGGCAAGTGGAAAAATAAGCCTGTCTAAACTGATGCACCAGGGATTTCTGTAGATGTGGTTTGGAGCAGTTTATTGACAATCCTGAAACAAATACAGCCAACCATGCAAGTATGCCAACTTATGTCCCCTTCTAGAAAAAAAGGCATAAATACAGATCAGAGAATAGTGGAAGATGTTGACTGTCAAGAAGAGGAATCACACAAAAACGACACCAACACCACCACCCACACATGAAATTTCCCTTGATTCTCTCTGACAGGCAGAATTTCACATTCTGGCTGATGCTGTTTTTTGGTTTTGGGTTTTTTTTGTCTGTAGTGGTACGAAAGCTGATGTGCCCCTATAAATATGTAAATATAATCCGCAGGTATACCTTTCAATATTTTTCCTCAAACAGTGCAAAGGAAACATTTTCTTTACTGCACATTTTCTTTTGTTTACTAGCAACCCTGAGACTGACCCAGGACTCGCTGACATTCGTCTGGAGTCAGATACTGGAGGCCAGAGCTGCTCCAGGAAAGCAAGCATCTCCTGCAGCTAACACCTGGCCGTGTTCAAAGCAAAACTGACCAAATCAGAAACTCCTTAGGAGACGACGCAATACAATGAGTCACTTGTAGCAGATGTTACTCTTGTTTCTTAGGACACGTGGATACTAAGTATGAGAACAGGTAAAAATAATAGTGCTTTTCACAAATTAGCTTAACTGGCAAGAACCCTTACCTTTTTGGAGTAGCACATCTCCTTTTGCAACTACCCTACCTGTAGTAACACTAAAATCTATGGAGGACTTCAGGAAAAGTGATGAGCAACATGCTAATTAACAGAAAAGCAGCCAATTCTGAGGTGAATAAGTGCATTGCTACTTGCACTCTTTCGTGTACAATGAATACTTATTTAAATTTCTTAGCTTGAAATATAAAATCAAGGATCTTATGTGAACTTTTGCCTAGCTGGAAAAGTTAAAACAGTACGGCAATCGCAATAGCTCTGTGGTTAAGACAGGATTTCAACATAAATTTTTTGTATGCTCTAGTCATCAAAAATTAGATATTACCTCTTAATATTAAGGAGTGCCCAAGGTATCCCAGTGGGAGTATTGAAAGCAGGTAGCAATTTCTCCCCAAGTTCCACTGCCTTCTTTCGGAATATCTGAAAATTAAGAAGAAACAAAGAGTTAGAAAAGACGGTGTTGCTCCCACTGAAGGAATTTGGATGACCCTGCTGTTGAATGTGTGGTACAAAATCACCTCAGCACAATGACGCCTCCCTGTTTTTTTAGTGTGATGTCAAAGAAACAAAGCAGTACAATCATTTTTCCACTATGCAAAGTAACAGAGGTAGCAGACACCACAGAAAACAGAAGAACTCATACAACAGTATTCCACAGGAAAGATATCGAGATGACATGCATCTGGTACGACCAGCCTCAAATCAGAGTTATAAACTTGGCTAGACCCCCTCTGGTTTATGCAGAATCGCTTGTGCACTCCCCTGTCTGGCTTGGTTGGTGCGTGGCTGAACGGCCTCAGAACCTGAGGCAAAAGCAAAACAAACACAATCCATAAAAAAGCAACAGAAAAAGGCAGCACAATGACATTTCTGCAGCTCCTAAGTAGTCTTTCTGGACTCGGCTGGCTTTGCAGGAAGATGAATGGGTATCGATGCCATGACTGACCCCCAAAATGGAATATACTCCTGCAGATAACCGAGAGTTGGCTAATCTTTAGCACCCAAAAAAATGTTTCAGCTTTCATCCTGAGAAGATGAAGGAGAAAGACCTCAGATGCTTAACATCTGCCCATAGGAATTACATACATTTTAACATAAGGAACTTTTATGTTCCGGGTAATAGCTGCAAAGCCAGAATATAAAAGAGGATTTTGCTCTCCTCCAACTGCCAAGTTAGCTCAGGTTACATTAACCTGACTTTCAGAGCACTCACTGCTCTAATAAAGTGAGTTCCTAATTAGAAGTAAAATTATTTCAACTTAAATATAGAAAGCTATTTAGCGATTACAATGTGTGGATGTTCAGGTCCTATTTGCTTGGAATTACACTGCGGTTCTGTGCAACAGAAGGAATTATCCCAGGTGTATTAGCCAAAATAGCAAAGTCACCTTCGTCATTCTCTCATTCTTATAATGGCTCCCTTCAATTAATTTTCTTCTTCTTCTTAAACATATTTATGATGAATTATTTATTTACTCACTTATTAGAAATCATCTTGTACCTGTGATGCATCTCACAGTATAGGAAGGCACAGTAGAGTAAATTTTCACAGAAGGAAGGAAAATACACAGGAACTCTGTTAATATGTTTATGTGAAAGTATAAATAAAGACATTTGCTGGTCAAAACATAACGGAAGAAATTTATTCCTATATAAATAAAATGCAATTTATAAGATCACACTTTCTAGAAGCCATTTTGTGTAAAGGTCTTTATTATTTAAAAGTATTTGATCAGGAGAAAATTTGAAATTTTGGGATTATCAAGTTACCATAACTACTATCCCACTACTATACATGTTACCATAACTACATGCATTTTACCTTAACTGTTACCAACTACCGTAACAGACTATCCCACAGTTTCGTCTTATGACACAGGATTTAAGATTTCTGTGGCAATAGTCTGGGATTTTGAATTATAGTAAAAGAGATTCTGAGTGAGGTTTAGTAATTTGTTCCTGCTTCTGGAGCCACATTATGGCTGGAGTCAAAAAACAGAAGCTACCAAATCCTCCTTTCTTAGCTCCTTTGTATTTTCAAGTGGAGTACATATAAGTGCTGGGGGCAATGTGAAGCAAAGCAATAGGGAAAATAATGTGGGTGGAAATCCTTCCATAATCCACATCATTTCTGACTTCCCAGTGTACTGATTCTGTGGATTCTGTCAAAAATTAGTTATGGATTTGTGACCTTCACATAGTACATAATCCGGTCTCCCCAGAGGGTAACCTTGAGGGACACCCAGAAACAGCAGTTTGTGCAGAACTTCATTATCCCTGCGTAGATTTGCTTGCAAAGAGCAAGTGACAGTAACTCTACAAGGAAAACCCAAGCTTTCTATTTGTTACACTAAGCAGTCGCACTTGTTCATGTTGATTCATCAAATCAAACCTATGTTTTGCTCTTCTAACACTAGAGAGGCGTCCTCAGTCTTTCACAGCATTTGATATAACAACTCAGCAGCTCATCTTAGCATCTCTACTTGAAACACTGAAGTATTAGCAGGAAAACGTTTTGTGATAAACTTCCTGAGCAACTAACACATCAGGAGCCTGAATTCCAGCAGAAGCATCTCTGGCCCAGCATAAGACCCATCTTTTCTCATATCTGAGGAGAGGTAGGTATTTTATTTTATGAAATGTGATTAAAGGTGGAGATTGTCAATGTCTGATGTACTCTTTCTAGATATGCATTTTTGGACAACAGATCTCCCTTTCAAAAGACGAATAAATATTAAACTGTAGCACTGGCAGCAAGGCAATGAACAACACTCAGTCACTGCTGTACCTTATGCTTTGTATTAATCCTTTGTCTTTAAAAGTTTACAGGCAAACTCTGAAAAAGCAATAATAATAATGCTTCTGGATAAGAATGTAACAGTTTAGTACCTTGATCAAATAAAAAGTCATTGTATAGCAAAAATGCTTTAATTTCAAATAAACTCTCACCAGTTGTCACCTTCTAATAAATATTTTTTCAATTCTATTGTATTTAACACACTAATTCCTTTTAAAAGCACCGTACCTACTTCCTAAATATGCCAAAATTAGCGGTCATCCAAAAATGAACAAATCTAATATCAAGTGGTAAGGAAATATTTTTCCACTTACAGATACACAAGAAAACCATAAGTCAATCCTGATAAGGACAATACTTTGAAAAAGAAATGTTACATCTTCAACATTAGAATACATAATGAAGTTGGGTTTTCTAATTCATTTATTTTCCAAAATATGTGTCTTCCAATGCAGTAAACAATTCAATATATACAGGAACCATAAAGAAAAGCAATTAGAAAAACAGAATTTAAAAAAGTGATTTTTAAAGTCTCATGCAATTTTGGAACTAGTCTTGAGGTGAAAATGCGCTTCTTTTTCACAAGAGAATTGCAAGAGTTTATTACCAAAAGTCATCTATGGATATTATCCAATTTTACCCTAGGGCTAATTTAATAAGACCGAACTACTGACTGCTAAATTACTACCTAATGAGTAAAACAGTATAGGCAAGAATGACAAACATACAAGAACACTTTCTGAATGACTGAACAAACTAAATAGGAAGTTGTACCCAGAAAAATTATCATCTTTCAGCAAGGGAAAGACAAAGATTAATAATAAAAACTACTTTATTTTTATATTTGCAGCTTTAATATGGTTAAGCAATAGTAATATCAAAAAACTGGTATTAGTTGTAACTACTGCACACTAACTTCAATAACAAGCATATTTTTCATTGCCAGACCATAAACTTCTAATGTTATACAAGAAATAAATGCTGTACAGGATAAGATATTTTTTGAGCGATAAAAGCAGACAAGCAAAAAACAACAAAAAATTTCTACTTAATATCTCTATTGCTGACATTGAATTTTAACTTTTTGCTAAGCCCTAAACAATCCCCCTTGCTATTGAGTAAAGTCATCCTTTGGTGAGCAAAACATATGACAGCTTAGACATACAGGCGGTAAAGGCGGCAAGGACAGAGTACAAAAGAGACACCATTATATATGAGAAAGAAAAAGGTCCACAACAGAATTTCCCATTTCCCATTAGACTGGCTATCTTGAGAGGCTTGAGGACTTCTTCTGGCCTCTCCTCCTGGCTACTTGGCCAGCAGTAAGCACAGAATCACAGAATGGTTGAGGTTGGAAGGGACCTCTGGAGATCATCTAGTCCAACCTCCCTCCTCAAGCAGGGTCCTCTAGAGCATATTGCCCAGGATCACGTCCAGATGGGTTTTGAATATCTCCAGGGAAGGAGACTCCACCACCTCTCTGGGCAACCTGTGCCAGTGCTCTGTCACCCTCACAGGAAAGAAGTTTTTCCTCAGGTTCAGATGGAACTGCCTGTGGTTCAGTTTGTGCCCGTTGCCTCTTGTCCTGTCGCTGGGCACCACGGAGAAGAGGCTGGCCTCATCCTCTCGACACCCTCCCCTTCAGATACTTGTACACGTTGATCAGATCCCCCTCAGTCTTCTCTTCTCCAGGCTGAAGAGTCCTACCTCTCTGCTCCATAGGAAACATGCTCCAGCCCCTTCATCAGCTTAGTAGCCTTAGTAATAAGGGCCTCCTTACACACACGACTGCGGCCGCATCAGACCTGGGACAAGTCATCACTGTCCCACGCTGGTACTGCAGCTCTCCTTTCATCCCACAGCCCCCTACCCTCAGCTCTCTGGGTTTGTGTATTTCTCTGCTCAGTCCAACCACTTCCAAGTCCACTATGACTTGCTCACGCTTCACCTGTTCTATCATATCTCCTTGTCTAGATTGCACACTTTTTTAGGGTAAAAGGACTGCAACGTTATTTACCCGATCTATTAGCTGATCAGGTAATACAATAAGTAAGCAACACTGAGATCAATCCCTTAAAAGGAGCACTGAGAGGAAAGTATTATTGCTACCTTTAAAAAGCAATCAAACCACTAAAAATTGCACCGACATTTAACTTGCTAGATACTATGCCGCAGCAAAGAAAATTTTCTAAGAGAAATATGGTGATTCAGGAAGGACAATGATAGTTAAAAAGGGTCAAAAATACATGAACAGTATATAACATTGTAAAGCTAGGTAGGATACTAAATGCTTTTTAAAGCATTTCTCCCTAACTTTTTTGTCAGAAGACAGACTATGAACATGAGATAATCTCTCATTTTAAACTCAAAGTGTTATTAATATTTTTAGAAAGGTTTATGTAAGATCTCTAACAATCTTTTATATTATTGAGTCTCACTGTGTGAGGGTCCTATGACAGAATGACTCCTTTCTAGAAAAAGTGTATCGACTCCTTCACACTCCACAGTCCTACTCATAATTAAAATTAGCACTAAAGTAAATTAGATACTTACTATAGCCTATACAATAGACTATGCAGAAAATAGAGCAACTACATTTTCCATTGAGATGCCTGTTTATACC